AGGAGGAGGAGGAGGAGGAGGAGGAGGAGGAGGAGGAGGAGGAGGAGAAGGAGGAGAAGGAGGAGAAGGAGAAGGAGAAGGAGAAGGAGAAGGGAAAGTGAAAGGGATCACCAAAAATGGATTGCATTAAAAGAATCATAAAGCTATCAAAACTTGTCAGTATCAAATTTTCCAAATTCTGCAATAAAATCAGGAACTTAAAACTAGGGAATACACTCAAGGAAGAAAGAAACTATGAAATAACACAACTTCTTGACATCTCACCTTCAACATCTAAATGTTCTCAGAAGCAGTTAAGGGAAGCAATTCAATGGATCCTCAATAATAATAAACCCCATTAAATGTGTGAAAGTCAAAAGGCAACAGGATAACATCTTTAAAGTGCTGGGCGGAAAAACTGTCACCAAAAATTCTATATCCAGAAAAACCATTCTTTAGTAGTGAAGAAAAATTAGGGAATAAGAAGATAAACAAATGTTGAGATAGTTCTTTGCTAGTAGACCTGCCTGCCCTCTAAGAAAAACTAACGGGATTTCTTAGTGTTGAAATAAAAGAACAACAGGTAATAGTTTGAAGACATATTAAAAATGAACAGAAACATTTGCAAATATATTAGCACACATAAATATAAAGGCCAGTTTCTTCTAAGTATAGATTATAATTCCTTTTTACTATATATGATTTAGGAGACAAATGTAGTAAGCAATAAACATAAACCTATATTCATAAACATGGATGTGTAGAGATTCAATGTGAGACAAAAGCATAAAAGTGAAGGAATGGAACTGTATACAGCAGAGTTTTTGCATACTACTGAACCTAAGTCATTATTATGTCAAACTATATTTAATAACAAAGATTCTCCTTACAATCCCCAAATCAATCAATAACAAAAAATTTTAAAATACACAGACAATTAAATCAGAGATGAATCTAAGGAGTGCACTGGAAAAAGTCAGCAGTAAAATCAGGCTGTAATGAAAGAACTTACATATACACATAAGACACATGGAAAGCAAACATTATAATGGCAGAAGGCCTTTCTTGTCAATAATTAAGTGTACATGGAATAAACTCCCCGGCTGAAAGGTAGATATTGGCGAAACAAATTTTGAGAACCTAATCTACTATTTGGACTCCCTTTTGATCCAAAGACACAAACAATATTCAAAGAAAAAGGAAGGAACAAGATAGGCACACAAGTCATACTAAAAGAGAGCTGCAGTGGCCATACCACTATTAGACAAACTTGCCTTTGTTATAGTAGAAAAAGAAAAATATTATATTTTAAAAAGGGTCAGTTTAGAGGTGCTTGGCTGGCTTAGTCTGTAGAATACCGGACTCTTGACCTCAGGGTTTTAGTTCAAGCCCCACAATGAGTATAGAGATTACTTTTAAAAAAGAGTCAATCTGTCAAGCAATAGAACAATTACAAATATATATACCTAAGATAGAGCTTTAAACCTTCTGAAGCAAAAATTCACACAAACGGGGGAGGAAGTTGTACAATAGTGGGATACTTTACTGGCCCACTTTAATAAACTGATATAACAAGTGGACAAACATAAAGAAAAAATAGACAACAAAACAACATTTAAACTAGACCTAACAGATATATTAATAATCCACAGAACATCAGAGTGTACATTTTTCTTAAATTCACCCAGAACACTCTCAGGGTTTTAGGCCACACAACTATCTGCAATAAAATGTAAAAGACTAAAATTACACAAAGTATATTATCTCACCACAATGGGACAAAACCAGAAATGATTTTCAGAAGGAAAAAGTGGAAAATTACAATTATGTGCAAATTAAACACATTCTTTAACAGCCAAACAAGTCACGTAGGAAATCAGAAAACAGATACAAATGAAAATTACAACACCATATGCCAAAATTTATAAAACGATGCAGGAGAGAGAAATCTATATATCCATATATGCTTATATGAGAAAGACCTCAAATCAAATAGCTAGCTTTATGCTTCAAGGAACCAGAAAAAGGAGAGAAAACTAAACAAAAGTAGCATGGGAAGCAGAGAAGAAACAAATCAAAAGATAAAATCAAGAAAATGAAGGGAAATGAAAACTGAAATGAAAAATCCAGAGCATAAAACCAAATGCTTCACAGCAAATATAAACAACACCGATAAATGATAATGAAATCAGCAACACTCTGGAATAGGTGGTCCTGGACCCTAGTCTCTCCACATAAAAACACAGATTAACAGGGGCGCCCGGGTGGCGCCGTCGGTTGAGCGTCCGACTTCAGCCAGGTCACGATCTCGCGGTCCGTGAGTTCGAGCCCCGCGTCGGGCTCTGGGCTGATGGCTCAGAGCCTGGAGCCTGTTTCTGATTCTGTGTCTCCCTCGCTCTCTGCCCCTCCCCCGTTCATGCTCTGTCTCTCTCTGTCCCAAAAAAATAAATAAACGTTAAAAAAAAAATTAAAAAAACAAAACAAAACAAAACAAAACACAGATTAACAACCAACAGTCTAGTGTAGTCTATAGAAAAATTTGAGAGGAAAACTTGGCAACACAAGAACACACTTTTGAAAACCCTAGAACCTCTTGGGTGAGTCTGAAGTGCTCCTTTGTGCACAAAAACTGGGAAAAGCTGCATCAAACAGTAATGCCAGCAATTTCACACTGACTATACATACTGTCCTCCCCCAGGCCGGAATAGTACCACACTGAGAGATGTACTCTGGACCTAGTTTTTCCAGTGGTAAAAAGATAGTTTAAGGTTGACACTTAGCTTTGCCAGTATTCATGGGTGGCCCCAGGAAGAAAACTACTCTCTATCATTTCCTAGGGAACACTGACAGACCACCTATGGTAAAGGCTGGACCATCTGTAAGCTAGTCACAAAGAAGGACACAGAGCTCACAGTAGTCAAAGGTCAGATTATGGCAGAGGCATTGCATCCCAGACAGCACCCAGACAAGCAAATGCAACTGACTAACGAGTACAGCTGAGGTCACCAACCAGTGATTTGGTTTGGCTTGGAGCTGGGTCTGTGACCCTTCTGGGCAGAAAACCAGGCAAGCTGCCCACTTGACACACTGTGGTGCACAGCCCACTCTGTGCTGCCACAGACTAGAACTTGAAGCCCCAGTCATCCAGGAAACTTGACCATGCAGCACAGACTTTGACTCCGCCCAATCACACCCAAAGCTAGCCACCAACCTAAATCTAACTATCTTATCTGGGA